ACACGCTACCTTCACAAATCACACGCTACCTTCACAAATCACACGCTACCTTCACAAATCACACACTACCTTCACAAATCACACGCTACCTTCACAAATCACACACACACTACCTTCACAAATCACAATCACACGCTACCTTCACAAATCACACACACACTACCTTCACAAATCACACACATACTACCTTCACAAATCACACACTACCTTCACAAATCACACACTACCTTCACAAATTACAATCACACGCTACCTTCATAAATCACACGCTAACTTTGCAATGTGAGAACAGAATGCAGAGGAGGCCATCAGTTCCTGTAACTCTCTTTGATGGATTTTGCTTCATTTTCAGTGTGAAGATAAAGATGAAAACATATTTGTGGATAGAGAGAAACGAGTAAATTTAAGGTAACATTTTGTATTACCAAATTTGGTTTTAAATAAAAACACAGAATAAAAAGTTATTTACTGCTATTATTGGTAATAATGACTTTTAAACATCTGCATATCTTAGAGTTAAATCTACATATTTAAGAATATGACTTCACAGTGAACCTTACTAAAACTATTTTTAATCATAAACTTTTCCATCTATTTTATTAACAAGAAACACTGAAAGCCTGAACTTATTTTGAAATTTAATAATTTTACTAATATTGAAGTAGGAATGAAAATTAGTTTGTTTAACTACTGAGAACATTAAATGAACATCCTTGTTTAGAAATCTTAGAGTGTGTCATTTACAGTATTCAGATTATAGAGTCAATTCTTAAGAACCATCTAACAGCTCTTGATACATGTTCTATAATTTGCTCGATCTTTGACAATTTGAATTCTAATTACTGTCTCCAAATGTGCTTAATACTCTGTACTAAATTCTCAAGAAAAAAAAAAAGGCTAATGCTACTTGAAAGAATTATGTTAAATTATTATAGATACGCTGAAGAATATCTTAGTTCAGAAGATTAAAAAAATCTTTTGCCACTCTTTAGTAAATTTGTTAACTACTAAATTCCTGTAGCCTAGGGTGAACATTACTGTAAGCACATCCACTGTAGGCAAGATGAGAGGTTATGTGGGTGGTGAGTTTGCTATTCCAACCTCATAGGTCAGTGTCTCACAATGTTTTACTCCTGTGATTCTATCCTGAGTTCAGGACTATGGGCTCCTTTCAGTTTTAAGGGGTGTCTAGGTAAGCTAGGTTCTTGGGCAAAACCAACACATTGCTCACGCTGATTAAATTTTTTTTTAAATTTATTTATTTTTATGTACATTTGACATTCATATATATCCATGTGAGGGAATCAGAACACTGGAATTTGAGTTACAGACCAGTCAGTGGTGAGCTGCCATGTGGGTGCTGGAATTGAACCTAGGTCCTCTGGAAGAACAGCCAATGCTCTTAACCCCTAAGCCATCTCTCGAGCTCCCTAAATTCTTTATCCATACCAAGATAAATTTCCAAATGCTTAATAATACCAGGGCTGTTTGAGAACCAAACTTCTTCCCACTTACTCCCCCTTTAATTGTGCTGAGACAATGAAAATTCCTAAGTTCATTTCAAAACCGATTTCTACATTCTGCGGTTTATCCTTGGGTAAAATGGCTGTGTCGCTAGTTCAGTTACAGTACCTGCTGGACTAGGCATGATGGGGGTTCCTGGCGGTCCTCCGCCTCCTGGAGGGCCCTAACGAAGTACACAAAATTTCAGTAGAGATAAAGCATTTCATTAAACAATATAAGGAAAAGCAGAAAAGGTTATACTTATCTCTATAATAATCTAATTTTAAAATACAAAGCACATCTATTTCCTCTATAATTTATTTCTTTGATGCACAATCACCTCAATATTATGTAAAACATAATTTAGCTTAACTATGTTGAGACTGTTTTGACAATTTTCCAAAAACAATGAGCCTCTATCATTGGTTTATTATTCATGACTTAATCACCTCTAATGAGGCCAAGGAGAAACTATAGGGCCTTTACAAATCAACAAAATAGGAATAATTCATGTGTACTTTGTTTGCTGTAATTTTCTTACATTTGTGTCAGTGGCTTTTACTAAAACTACAAAGACATTCACATAGAATATCTAAGAGAGAGCCACTCAGAGAGCCACATTGCTGAGCTCTAATGCGTGTCTGTTCTCAGTGAGCCTCAGCGATCACGTGAGCGGGAAAGGCACTGTGATGTCACTACGCTGCAGGGCTGTGGAGGCTGCTGCTCCAGCTATGCACAGGCACCAGGTACACCTGCAGTCAATTCTGACAACTAAAGCCAGAGCTTAGACAATGACTTCCAGAATTTTTCAGGAGCTGTATGCATAATGATGATTTTAAATCTCTAGAGACTTAATTTTTTTATTTTATTCTGGGTGTACACATACAGCCTACCAGTTATTTCAAATAATGTGTGCATTTCCCACTAAGTAAACGAAGATTTCTTTTAAAATAAATATATATAATTTAATAAAAAATTACCAGGCTTACTAAGTGACTTTTAAAGAGAGTTTTAGCCTTATTTCTCTTCCTTCCTTCCTTCCTTCCTTCCTTCCTTCCTTCCTTCCTTCCTT